GGGGGGGGGGGGGGGGGGGGGGGGAGGAAACATTAGTGAGACTGGTATTTCCTGTCACTTGCTGTGAAACAAACACGTACCTCTGCAAAACTGCTGATCTCAAACTTTCAAAATGATGAGCTGGATTCTGAAACCCCCCTCTGGTTTTAGCTAATAATCATGGCAACTTAAAACCTAGATTATGATAAGTTTCATTTGCTTTTCTATTTGGAAACTTCACATGCAGATCTTGCACTCTTTTTCCTTGCAGCCACGTGATCGTGATACTAGCAGTAAAACTCTGTAAGTTAGTAAATCTGAAGCTCTGTAGTTCCTATCTTCCTTTTAAGGAGGATTATATAATAAAATGTAATCACCTGGCCTCATTTGTTAAGTCTTCCTAATATTATTTCTTGTTACAAGGAATATGTGACAGTTATTGTACCTGTCTGGGGAGGTTCTTCTACTTTATCTCCAAGGAAAAGCTGTTAATTCCAAAATATTAACTATTGCAAAACAGGTATGCAGGAGAAAATACAAGAGAAAGATAGAAGGCTGTTAACCAAATTGTTGCAGAGTTACAAAACTTTAAGGTACTTTTACACAATGGACGGCAAGGAAGTACTAGATTTGCTAGAGAATGCAATTTATTGAAGTCCTTGATGATGGAAAACTTATGCCAGTACTAACCGTCTAAGAGAGTGACTTCCAATGATATAGTACACAAAATCTCCCAGCATCTTAGACCTGACAGCCTGTCGTGTATTTTCATTGTATCTTCCAGGAAAAATATATTATTTGAGGGAAAAATAGCCAAAAGTTTGAAAACCTATGTTCTTAAATTAAGAAGTGCAAATCTGATTCCGTACACTATTTTGCTATTATAGCTGTCTGGACACATGTGCTGAATCAGATAATTTGCCATATCCAATTTTGGGTATAATGCCGAACATACACCAGAGCTGGACCTTTGAACTCGTTAATTGAATTGCCTTCTGTATGAGACAGATGATGTATTAATCTGTTCTTGAATCACTGTTCTTGGACATTATATCTAACGAGGATATCTAAATGCTAGAGACAGTTTTCAGGTCAGAGTTTTCTTCTCTTACATAGGCTTCCTATACAGGTTATCCAGAACCACTTCTAACTGGACTGCTGACCCGTTAGTTTCTTTTTTGTGAGAATGAACAGCTTGAGTTTACCTGGTGCTGGTGCCATAATATTCAATATTCTAAAATGCTATTTTAAAGTTACAGTTGCTTGTAGAATCCTGCTCTCTTAGAACAGCTTTGTTTAATTTTGTACTTTTGTGTTATAGTCTTTGTTCCTTCTAGGTATCTTTTTCATTTGGATTGCCTCATTTCTCAAAAACAATAATCCATATTTCAACATTTAAGGTTATAATGGTATTTGTGAACTTCATCATGTCTCAGGCTGCATCAAAAGAAATGTAGCCAGCAGGTCAAGGGAGATGATTCTGGCCCTCTACTCTGCTCTTGTGAGACTCTACCTGGAGTACTGCATCCAGCTCTGGGGTCCCCAGCACAAGACAGACACGGACCTGTTAGAGCAGGTCTGGAGGAAGGCCAAAAAAATGATCGGAAGGATGGAACACCTCTCCTGTGAGGACATGCTGAGAGAGTTGGGGCTGTTCAGCCTGGAGAAGAGAAGGCTCCAGGGAAACCTTATTGCAGCCTTTTCAGTACTTAAAGGGGTATTCTAAGAAAGATGGGAACAAACATTTTAGCAGTGCCTGCTGTGATAGGACAAGGGCCAACGTTTTTAAAGTAAAAGAGGATTGTTTCAGACTAGATATAAGGAAGAAGTTTTTTGCAGTGAGGGAGGTGAGACACTGGAACAGGTTGCCTAGGGAGGTTGTGGCTATGCCTTGTGCCTTGTGTTCAAGGTTGGGTTGGATGGGACTTTGAGCAACCTGATATAGTGATATAGTAGAAGATGCCCTGACTATTGCAGGAGGGCTGGACTAGGTGATCTTTAAAGGTCCCTTCCAACCCAAACCATTTTATAATTCTATGATTTCTTGTGTGCTTATACTAATGTGAACAGTAGCTTTTGTACTTTTCTGCAGGTTTTGGGTTATTTTCAGTAAAAGTGCCATAAGGTTCCAATGTTTCATCAGAGTTGCTTGAGTGTATTCAAGCTCCTAGTTCTGTATTTAGCTGTTTAGAAGTCCAGTATGTTGTCTTTACTGGTAGTACTTTATGTACAAAAGCTTAAAAAGAACAGTTCATTTACACCCTGAATTGTTTTTTTGTCAGGTGTAAATTAATCCTGAGTTACAAAGAAATTAATCAGAGCATATTTTTATTGTTCAGTGGTTTTAAATTTCTCACTGATCTGCACGGAAGCTTTTATCTTTTTATACAGTACATATATTGCATTTAAGTATCCTTAACATACGCTAACATATGAGAATGTCCACCTTCTCATTTCTACTTGGTTATATTTCATTTTCAGTTGATAGAATTTTTTGGTAAATGTTCTGTTTATTAACTTCATTTGTTCCTTAGTTATTCTAGAAAACAGATTTTCTAGACATATAAAATAGTCAACCTTATGTTTTCAAAGCCTTGGCTTTAATGTTTATTATTTTTTCATGCTCTATTTTATATTAAATATATTGCGTGTTTCTGTTTGATAAATACTGATTCTGTAACCATCTAAATATAATATACCACAGTTAGTGGTGAAGAGCATACTAGAAAAACCCCAAATCCCTTTATGAACCAGTTATTCCCTTCCAACTCAGTTTTTAATTTTACAAGAAATGTGAAATAACTTTTATTTATGTTGTAAAAAAAGTATTTTCAGAGTTATTTTCTTTGTGTGAAACATCACTCCAGGTATCTTAATCTGTGCCTGATGAGGAAATAAAAAATCATCTAACTTAAGATGATCTCTCTGAATCAAGCCATTAGCACAGTCATCATGTGTCCTCTTCTTTTTGCTGTATTGGAGCTATATTGGATTGCAGGGAAAATGGCTGCAAAGCCTTTTTACCCAGACCTTTTTAGAGGGAAAATGTGAAGCTCTTTTTGTTTTGGAAAGTTTTACGTTTGGGAGTTGTTGTACATATCTCTATTTGATGGATTTTTAGGCCTATTTGTGCTTCATGATGTTAAAACTATCTGTTAGTATCGATATTGATGTGTAGATGGCCATCCATAACTCAACTATTCTAATATAATAAAATGTACCTTTAGAAGAGAGAGCAGTCTGAACTGAAAGTCCCTATTCTTCTAAATGCTTGTACCTGTGGTGTAGAAGTGTATGCTATTTTTTCACTTGTAAGGCTTTTAAAATAGGATATGAGCTTGGCGCATGTGTATCTAAATCGACAGAGAGCATCAAACCACATGATGTTACCTGGGAAGGAAAGTTAGTCCGGTTCAGACAATGTCTTTCTATCTTCCACGTTCATGCCACTATTCATTAATGGAGCTAACTTATTCTGAGGAATTTTGCACTGGAAGACAGTGCTTATCTAAAATTTGTGAAATAACCACATTTTGTGCCTCATGAACATTCTGATGAGATTTCTAATCCATGTGTTGAAAACATTAGGTGCAAAAACTGTCAGCCAGGCAGAAGGCAGTTTGTACAGTTTTCCTTCAAGTGATTCCCACCATTAACTTAATTTCCAGTGGAAAAGCCAAAGCTCTGACTTGATATTCTGAGATTCCTGACCATACTTAACCATAAAACAGGCATACGCAGTTCATTTTTTTCTTCATAGAGCTCCACTAGTGTGAGATGTCATATCCTGAGGACTCTTTGATAGTCCATTTTTGCAGTAGGAAGTTTAGATGATGAAAATATGTCTTTTTTTAAAGGTCTACGAACATCAAGGAGCACTAGAATTACTTACCAAAACATTTCCAAAATAAAAATTAACTCCTGTATCAGGTAATAAATTCATAGAAAGACATCCTTTACTTATTTGGATGAAACAACTTGCTTTCCTACAAAAATAAGGGCTGAATTTCAGCTGAAACAGTTTCAGGAGAGGAGAAAGCTACCAAAATAAAGGCTCAAGAAGCTCAAGGTTGAATGCTGATATTTTCATGGTCCATAATAAAGTGATGCAGCAACCAATTGAAATTTCTATGTGAACATGAATGCTTAGATAGGGGTATACAGCTTGTTTTACTAAAACACTTATTATATTTCTGTATTACTTCCTTTTTTCAGATGCTCCAACATTTGTGTCAAATCAGACTATATATTATTCTTGGGAAGGCAATCCCATCAATATAAGTTGTGAAGTGCTAGCAAATCCACCTGCCTCAGTTCAGTGGAGAAGAGGAAAATTGGTTTTACCGGTAAAAAATACAACACATCTGAAGACCTACAGTACAGGAAGAAAGCTGATTTTAGAGGTAAGGCTTAAAATGGAAATCAACTTGGTGACATTAATTGATTTCTTCCTCAGTTTAGCACTGTTCAAATTCTGTAGAGTGCGTTTAAGGATAAGACTTATAATTTAGTAAGTAAAGCTCTTTTTTAAAAAAAAAATCAACTATTTATGAACTTATCTCCATATTTCTTGTGAGCAGTTAGAAAATAAATGTCATTTGCACAACTTGCACTCCATGAAAAACTGTAATCTCTGCAAAGAATGCATCTTAATTATCTGTTTACCTTATTAACTTGACTAAACAGTTAACTACTTGGCAATACCATATAGCAAATCATGGTCCTTAATTAATCATTTCACAAAAAAAGTGTAACCAGTGTTTTCAGCACTGGTCTCACATGCTACAAGGACAACATACTGTATTCCTCCACATGAATACAGAGGAAGTAGTTAGTTTTTTCCATTTCTGTCTTGTATCAGGCTTATGTCTGACCAAAAGTTTCTCAGTTGCCATAGGAACAAAGGTTGAGAAGCTCTAGGACTAATCTGCGTGGGGAACCTACTTCAGATCCGAAGCAAGAGGTGTACAGTGCACTGGAAAAAAAATATGTTTTTTTCCTAAAGTCCAAAGAAGTAACCTCGTTTCTTGTAGTAGAGCATATATATTTAAAGAGATGCAGTACTACTGTTGTTTGAAGATCGTCTTTAGGGTTGTTTTTTTTTTTATTATTTTAAGTAAAGCTTAACAAAGCAAAATATGCTTTACAGTGTATGGTTCTTTGAGTGCTCTTTCATTCTGTCACCTGGAAAGTTGGTCAGGCAAGATGGATTGCAATAACGCATCAGTTCCCTGCAGTATTTAGTATCTGTTCTGTCTTACACCCTTGTTCAACTGAATTTAGAGTTGAGCAACATGCTTTACATCTTCTTTCCCCCCAGACTGTCTGGTGTATTGTGAATCCTGCAGACAATAAAAAGTAAAATATTATTCTAGTAAGATAACAGCAACTTTTCTGACCTTTCATTGCTTATTTCAGTCAAAGAATCAGTTTGCGCAAACAGTGTCCATGAAAAACATGTAAAATTTATTAGATTTTTTTCTTGTTTAGAAGTGGAATTATAAAGATGAACAATGTCACCATTCTCCATTATTTGATTTCCTCATTTGAATTTGAGGAGGTGGAGTTTAACATGAAAAAGGGTGTATTTATATCTGTATTTGGAGAATACACTATATAGGTAGAAGTAAGAATGTATCTCCGTCTTGGTTAAGGATAACATATTTACATTTTACGTTTCGTTAAAGAACATTAATATTTCATTAGAACTTAATATTTTAAAACTCTATTTATTTTAAAGATTGCTCCCACATCTGACAGTGATTTTGGAAGGTATAATTGTACAGCCACAAACAGGATAGGAACGAGATATCAGGAGTATACACTTGGTCAAGCTGGTAAGTAAAAAAGTTGTTTCCTTTTCTTCAAATATTTTTCTGTTTTAATAAAAATTAATTTCAGACACACTTTTCTCTGTTTCTTTCATTCCAACGGAATGTTTGCAGTTAATTTTAATTATTTAAATTAGGATGCAATATAAAGTAAAATAAACTAGTTCCTTTAGAATATGAATCTTACTTGGTTTTGAACTTGCCTTCTGAAATTTGAAAAAATCGAGTTAGGTTAACTTTTTTCCTTTGTCCTTATTGCATCCTACATTTATAATAGTGTATTTTCATTACTTCAGTGGAGAGACACATGGTTTGCAGTCATGAAAAATAAGAAAGAATTAGGAAATTATCTTTTCCTCTGACATTTTCCTGATAAACCAGGGATGACAAAAGATTTAAATACTTCAGCAAAGAATTTTTATCTTCATTTGCAGTTTTAGTTATTTCAAAGCAGAATTTGACCCAGAGTGCTAGTTTGAATTAATTTAAGCTCTGAGATGGCAACCAACTTTTACAGAATTTCTGAATATCTTTAGGTCCATCTATTGTTGTTTAGGGAAATACAAAAATATATGACCACATGTTTGTTTTTTGGCAGAAATAATTATTAACTGAGACTAAATGAGAGTTTCTTAGCATTTCTTTCAATTATATTTTCTTGTGGAATGGATTAATGCTTGTTCAGCAAGCTTTGAGTCTCCCAACATTTGGATCTTCGTAATTAGGTGATGCAAATTGTTTCAGCTTTACTGAAATCTATGGATTTATGATGCAGTTCACAGTAACAAAGGTACAGCCCTACTGAAAGCTATACACCCCTTGTGATGCGTTTTTCTGGACCATTTTCATGATGTAACTTTCAGGTCATATCATACTGCCAAACTGGCTGACATATTTTAGGGGACAAGTAGAAATAACGTCTTGTATAATTTTTTTTAAAACATAGGACTTGTATCTTTTTTTATGATCTTGAATGTTTCAGCTGTAACTTTTGGTTACACTTTTTTTTAAATAAGAAATTCTTTGGAGCTCTATTAGGAGGACCTCTGGAAATGCATTGCTGATATGTACTGATCCAGTCATAGGGAGGCTCTTTTACCTGTCCTGGTGTTTTAGTTTTTATAGTTTTGCTTAATCGGGTAATTATTGTCTTTTGGTGTATCAGGAGTTATAAAAAAATTTTGTTCATTAAGAAATTTCTTAGAAGTTGTACACAGCATTGAAAGTTTTTCCTGTCAGCTCTAAATGATGGATTACTAGCACATACTTATACTATGAATACTATACTATATTTTGTCCTTAAACAGTGGTCAAAAGAGCTGAGCTTCCTAAAATAGAAATATGTGGGGTTTATCAAGAAAACAGCACATTTCTGCGTGGTACATTTTTACATCATCAAGAAGGTTCATTCCCCTTCATTTTCCAACTTTTTTTGGGGTATTGGCTGTGTTGCAAATCTAATCTTCCTTTAATTACCTACATGTGACCAATGAGAAATATATTACCTCTTCCTTTTGCATGTAACCATCCTTAGTCCCAGCTAAGTCCTAATTTCATACAATATTTTTTTTTACTTTCCACCTTACAAAACTGTCCCCAATATAAGAATTCACATTATCTAATTCATACCTAAAATAATTCTATTTTCTTAAAAAAGAAATTCCAGAAGAGAATAGTTTGTAGAATCTTCAGTTATGTTCGTGGTCATCTACCTGGTTAAACCCATTTATTTCAATGGAATTACTTGAACAATTGAGTTTCTGTAATAGGGATAAAATTATGACTGTACCAGCTCATGAGTACTACATGTGGCATTAAATATGAAAAATGAATACTCCCTGAGATGTTCAAAATTGAGGTAGTAATAGAAAATCTCTAAGCTTTGAGGAAAAACACAATCAATTTCTATACCAACTATTCTGTCCCAAATCTCAAGACTTGTAGGAAGTTAGCATTTATTTGAATAGGTAAACTATATCTATTATGCGTATATTACTTTTTCATCATTTAATTTAGGAAGTACATTTAGCCCTCTAAATATCTCTCAGGACTTGATTTTCTAAATACTTCTAAATAGGATTTGCAGAGTTACATTAAAATCATCAAACAAAAGGAGTGTACGCAACCTTCTGATTTTAGTCAGTTAAATCTGTTTCTCTTCAGTAGAATGCTTTATCTTTGGGGTATCGCATCCATCTGTTGATTTGACAGCAGCACTGGTTCTGCCTGTCATGCAGAGCTAGGTGCTACACTTGTCTCTGGAATATCATCTCTAAGATTAGTTACATGTGAGGCTTCACTGGAAGGGAAAAGCAGTAGAAGTACAATATGAAAGGTGCTAGAATAATTTTTGAATTCCTCTCAAAAAACAGAAAACGTGGCACTAGAAGTCTGTCTTAAATCCATGAACATGAATGACAGAAAAAGGAAGGAAAGATCCTACTTTGGTCCCTCTGGTGTCAGACCTCTGACTCTTACCTCAGAACAGAAAGAGATGAAATCATAGAACAATTATGCCAATGAAAACAGAGGAACTCGGGTTGTGGTTATTGCTGTGCACTGTTTTTTCATAAAGCTGTACATACACATGAGAGCATCTCAGAAGAGACTCTATATCTGCTGATTTTTCTCTTAGATTTGCAAAACAGTATCCTATCACAATGCATGATGCTGCATAATGATTATTTTTGCTATGTATTTATCTCCCCCTTCTGTAGATAATTAATCCTTATGCAAAGTAATTCTCATTATTAATGGAAAAAGAATACATTATTTTGATTATGCGTTGTATTTCAGCAAATTCTCGCATGAGAGCCCCTGGAAATGCAAGTGAGAGCAAATAACTCCATACAAGATATAATCCTGTTTTGGCTTTTTAATACAACTGTATCAGAGATGTTGCTGATGCCAGTTTTTCAAACAGCTTAGTATTCTCTACTTTTACATCAGTTAGCTTAAAGTTTCTCAGTCAATTCTTCAGAAAAGTTGATGAACATTAAAAAAAATATATTGGTGTTATAGACATTAAACGGTAAACGAGGGTATAATTAGTGAATATGTTATGAATAAAGAATTATGGGAAGTTATTACGTAAAGCATGAGATACATATGGACATTCTATATAATAATACGGAATGCAGAAAAAAGAACAAATTCAAATTTTGTAGTAATAATGATGAACAGGTATCCTTACCATGAGCCACTGGTAGTGTAGTATATGTCTGGGGCTGGAAACCCTGGGTTTGGGGATGTCAGAGCTCCATTGTGCTAGGCACACTTTACAGTAGTATAATGCATAACACACAGTATCCTGAAAGTTTGACATTTTTATCATTTGCTTCTAAATAGACTTTTTTTGGTGAAAAAAAAACAGCAAATAACAAATGTAGTTCACTGTGAAAAGTTTTGCACTTAATCTAGCATCAGCTGGAAATAAAAAATAACCATGGAGATGGAAGATAAAACCATCATAATAATTACAGGTATAAAATGTCAAATGCAGCTTTCTGCCTAGTTTTACTACCTCTGTTGCTTTATGTTGGTAGATTAGGAAGCCCTAATGATTGATACTTTGCATATTAAAGCCTATAAAATTTTTCATGCGTTTCAGTACAGCCTGGATTTCCTTCTGGCTTTGATTGTAAATACTAATGCTGGGGCGTGGCATACTTTCACGATGGCTCTGTCAGGGAAAAGTAAATACTGTTTCTAGTTGGGAGATGATATGCTGCTAGGGTAAATTTTGCAAATAATGATAATTTTACTTTATAGTTTTCTCTTAAAATTTTGCAGAAATGACTTGTTGCTTCATGTTTTGTTCCATTTTTCTGCTTTCCTGGTTTTCAGCAAAATCAAACTAACCTTTGTTTTTTTGTTTTAACTTATTGCTAGTTAAAAAGCGGTCAGGAAATCAGGCTGAATACTGAAAGCTTAATCCGATGTGATGACTACCTGGCTTGTGGTGATCAACTCTTAGAAATACCACATGATGTATTTTCCTATGTCATTACTTAACCATTTAAATTGCCATGTGAATAACATGTAGAATGTGAAAAGAACTACAGTTTTTTTAATTTCGTGCCACTGCAAATTAATTACTTCACATCACAACCACAACTTTTATTTTAGAAGCCTACTTATACTCTGTTTTTTCTCTATGACAGGGTTAGGTTTTGGGAAGTCAGGCAAGCCTGGCAGATTGTTCCAATGGCTTTCAGAGCCTGAAGTGAGCACATATATTCCTAGGTTTGCCCAGATCTAGTTTAGTCATAGTTTAGGTGAAATATCAGTATGCAGGGAGATGGTATTAATTAGCAAAGCATCCTTTTGGTCGAAATCTCAGTATCATTATTTCAAATATTTTTGAATAGTTAAATGGATGATATATAGATACATAGATAAATATAAAATCGTATGGCCAGCAGTAGATTAGGAGTATGGTGATTGAATAGGTAGTTTATTGTCTTAAAATGTTAAATGTTAAGGTTGTGACACAGAGAGCTAAACTGGATTTTTTACTTTAAATATTAATGTATATTTTGCACATAACAGTGTACAGCTGGACTGAATCCAGAGCCCCTAAAAAGTAAAACATTATTTACCTCTAAGACTCTCATGGTCTTACTCATCCTAGACTTCCCTTTCTCCTTCTTTCTTCTGTTCTGGGACGGTAAAGGTTTAAAAGTTCAGATAAATAGCCCGATTCACCTTTTCGCTTTAGTCTTTCTTTCAGTTTCTGCACCTAGAGGGATACTTTCATTTTTGATGAAAGTTGAAATTCTGATCTCACCACGTCATGCCTGCTCAGCAAAGAGACTTACAGAAACTGTTAACAAGATCAGCTGCTGGCAGAAACTATACTAATAGGCAGTGAAAATAGTTTACAAATTAGCTACATCATACAGCTCTGATGATGAATTTCAAACTTACCTTGCCAAATCATACCTGTTATATGTTTTGCACAGTATGCTATAGAACATCAAGAATTTTACAGCATTTAGAAGTGG